TGACCATATGTTAGGGTTGATGTTCAAAATAGGTGATTGGACATACAGTACTTCCTTTGCATAAAATCCTTTACTCTTTATTGGCATCTATATATTTCTGGGCCAACCAAAATCCCTTCTTCAGACATATCTTCACTGATACCCCTGCCTGCATTAGAGCACATCATGCCAATGTTTCCCAAAGATGGCCCTTTATTTTCTTTAGACTATTTATCAAAATCTAATAATTGAGTGTTTTTCAACCCTACTAGAAAATAGGTCCAGGGGAAAAGCAGACAACAGTGTGCAAATGAGTTGTCTATCTCTGTTCAGATCAAATCCATGTCTGCCTTTGTTTGGCCATGATGTGGTCACTTCTGCCCAGGGCACAGAAGACTGTTATCCACAGTGGGAGGAGGCAGCTAGAGAGAAAGGAAGGGGAGCATTTCCTCACCACTCTCTTATCGAGATTCTCAGCCAGGCCCAAGCTACACTCTGACCCAGGCTGCACCCCCAGCACCACCCCACACATACAAGTTGAGAACAGGCTTCCTACATACAGATTTTTGTCAAATTTTTAAAATAGCTTTTCTTGCTCTTAGTTAAAAAAAAAATTCCCTATTTCCCCCTATAGCCTCTCCTGAATGCATGGGAGCAGAGCTAGCTGCCTGTACCTGCTGCATCTTGGAACTATTGTCCACAGCTAGAGCTCGGGTTTAGTCATTTAATCATCAGGCTCCCTGTCTCTCTGCCACTACAATGACATGCATGGCCATTGCAAGACAACTTTAATTTTTCCATGTGTGCTGGCTTGAAAGTGACACTTTCCATGGCCTTGCCTGCAGAAATACACAGCACAATCATTTCTACTCCCATGAGAATCATGCTGCTCCTCTGAAATCTCCTTGGAGCACAGGACCCAAGGCAGGTTCATCTGCCTAACTATACCATGCAGTCAGTTTCTTCTTTGGGGTCCAGCTATCTTCATAGGAGGCTTGCAAAAAGGGTGATTCCCTAGGTAAACAGGAAACCGTTATGCTTACTCATCACAGCTTCTTCCAAATATTTTCTTGGCAGTAGGGTTATTTTTTATTTTGGGATTCAAAGTCAGAAATAGATTACTACCTTTGATTTGTGCTGTTATTTGTTCATAAAGCAAACAGCACAGAATGACATGATTTATGAACAGGGTAGGAAGGTGGAGCTCAAGGCAATCTTGTCAATGAAATTGTACTACTCCACATGGGAGTTCTGAATAAAGGGGCTTCTCTCATACTGTGCCTCCTAGATTCCCCCCCATACAACATTCCATCAACAGAGTCATCATAAGGCACGAAACATCTGTTCATTGAGCAGACTTACAAACCCCTAATAGACCGAAGGAAAGTAATAGCAATAAAGATATTCATGTTTATTGAGCATTACTGAGTGGACTCTTTTAAAACCTGTGTTCTTTGCATACATAATGTCATTTATTCTTTATAACACCATATGCAGATGTTATTGTTTGTCCTGTTTCTCATGTGAGAAAACGGGTTCATAGAGGGTAAAATCTTCCGCATGCTCATAGAGGTAGTATTAAACTCAGGATTCAAATCCACCCTTATCAAACTTTAAAACTTGAACATTTAATGAGTGTAGATTTTATATACATTAAGGTGTGCAAATGTTCAAGTGTCTGCAGTTCATTTTTAAATAATTTAGAATATACAGTGTTATGTCTTGGGCTTGTTTCCATAGCCCATGTGCTGGGGAGTAGTCAACGCCTATTGTAATCAGGAAGCTGTACCCCAGGTGGGAGCACTCCAAGCAGTTCTTTCCTATCCCATGTGAGTTCTGTACTACCATGGTATACGTCGAAAGGAATGAGAAAATGGTAGTAAAGAGAGAAAAACAGCCTTTACAGAGTACCATTTTGCCATAAAGACAGAAATGGATTCTTTATTGTAAAGAAAAGTCAGTAAATATTGGATGATTTTGTGCAGAAGAATGCCTGGTCATTTTTTGTGTTAGCATAATATATTTTGACAATTTCCTATAGCAATGCATTAGAGGCAGGCTATGTTTGAAGTTAACTAACATCTATTAGAAACTAATAGAGTATGATAGTCTCAGAAATGAAAGGTATGCTGTTGCTTCTAATATTGAAACCATTAAAAAGAAAAATGAATACTTTCAGGTAAAGGAAAATACAAACCAGAGGATCTATGACTCCAAGACATTGAAAGTATCCGAGAAGCAGAATGAGGTTCCAAAACGTTCAGAGGCCAGCACAACCCTGACTCAGCGCCACCCCAGGACTCCTCTGATGCCTCCAGCAGCCCCACCCAGCACTTTGTTACTTAAGGTACAATCTCCTGAGTGCCATTCTTCCTGTCTCCCAACTGTAACTACAGAGATCATCAGAATGTTCAAAGAGCTTCTCCTGTTTTCTCTAGCTGTGTACAAATCTGTATGGAATTAGAAACTTATAAAGGATGATAGTCTCAGAATGAAAAGATATGCTGTTTCTCTTAATATTGAAAGCCATTAAACTGAAAAATGAATACTTTCAGGTAAAGAAAAAAACAAACCAGACAATCTATGACTCCAAGACATTGAAACTATCCGAGAAGCACAATGAGGTTCCAAAACGTTCAGAGGCCAGCACAACCCTGACTCAGCGCCACCCCCAGACTCCTCCGATGCCTCCAGCAGCCCCACCCAGCACTTTCTTACTTAAGGTACCATCTCCTGAGTGCCATTCTTCCTGTCTCCCAACTCTAATTACAGGGATCATCAGAATATTGAAAGAGCTTCTCCTGTCTTCTATAGCCGTGTACAACCTCTGTATGAAATTAGATCACTAATACATTTACCAAATGCATACACTGAAATCTTACCAGGTCATAGTCCTTTGCTATTTAAAAGGTGTGCATTTATGAAATGATTGCTGCCTCAAGAGGGTTACTCTCTCCTGTTGGTGCAGCTATAAAGAAGGGGAGGGGAAGAGCTCAGATAAGCGTAGATGAGAGTGTGTTCAGACTCTACACTCCAGTTTCTTCCACCCCTTTCCATGTTGCTTACAGGTAATATCTCTAAATTTATTTCTAACCTTCCAAATTCCTTCCAACATCACAAATCTTCACGTAGGCTATTTCCTTGTTGGGAACCTATTCCTTTCATCTCATCATTGGCACAACTCTCCACAAATTTTAGATGCCAAGTTAAAGGTTTCCCTCTGGAAGCTTTCTCTGAGACAGGACTACATGAAGTGATGAGCCCACCGATGCCTTCCTTTCACAGGTCCTCTTGTCAAAAAGGATAAATTTCTCATTTCACGGGGGTGAATAGAGGGGACTGCTTTTAAAGGTGCCTTTCATAATATTTCTCCTGGGGTTTCCCTTAATATAGAGTCAGCACAGTGCAGGGAATATGTGTGTACCAGAGCAACTCCCAGCACAGAACATGGAACAATAACAGTATTTATATTTCTACTTTTTAAGCACCTACTAGGTACTTGGTCTAAAAAATGTGTTCTAAAATATGTGAAGAGCTGGGTGTACTAGGACCTAAAACGCAGGTGATAGGAACCTGTTTGTGAATTGTTTGATGAGAAAAGATCACCTATAAACATTCATCCGTTCATCTGACTTGACTCTGAGACTTGCTACCCTTAACTCCAAGTAGGCTTATCTACCAAAAAATATGCTCAAGAAATGTGCTTGACCTTGTTGGCTCACATCAGTTTACAACACTGGTAGAGCCAAGAATCTAAGATCAATGAGTCTTTACTTTTCCAGACCAGAGACTTTAATGCTTATACTGTGTCTGCTGAAATGTGGGTTAAGGAATCTAGATTAATGCCACTATCCAGGGAAAATTAGTAGAAGGTAAATCGTATAAAAAAGCACTTTAAAAAAAAAATGTGTATGCCATTCAACTCATCTAGAAAAACATTAGCCAGAAAATATATTACTATCCATCGTAAAAGAAAAGATTAACTCATCCAAATTTATCATTCCAGAAGGAACAAGCCATCCCAGGAGCAGAGACTTACTCTGCAAACATCAGATTCAGCACACCAACTGTGGCCCCTGCTCATCTTTATGCGCCATATCCAAAACTCCCATCCAGCAGTTTCTTAAGCAAGGTACCACCTTCCTGTTTCTACTGTTGTTGCCTCCTTCAAATATAAGGGTTGATCAGAGTTTTGAAAGAGATTCTCATTTAATCTCATATTAAACATAATTTCATTATTTTACTACATCTCTCATCATTTATCAATATGTAACTGGACTTATCACTGGATTCTATCTACATCCTTTGTTATTCACAACATGTGCATTCATGAAGTCATTTCTGTCTTCCAAAAGATTATTGTCTTTTGTTTGTCCAAATATAGAGAGAGTATGAGGAGAGGTATCCAGCCAAGGAGATATGAATACGAGAGTATGTTTGTAACTTACATTCCAGTTTCCTTCCACAACTTTCCACTACAACTACTGACCGTATGTTAGGGTTGATGTTCAAAATAGATGTTTTGACATACGGTACTTCCTTTGCATAGAATCCCTTACTCTCTTCTCTTCATTGGCACCTATATATTTCTGGGCCAACCAAAATCCCCTCTTAGACAAAACTTTATTGATACCCCTGCTTGTATTAGAGCACATATGCCAATGTTTCCTGAACATGGCCCTTTATTTTCTTTAGACTATTTATCAAAATCTAATAGTTGAGTGATTTTCAACCGTACTAGAAAATAGGTCCAGATGATAGGTTTCAAATCCAGGGGAAAAGCAAACAGTGCACAAATGAGTTGTCTAAATTCAGATCAGGGCCGGGCGTGGTGGCTCACGCCTATAATCCTAGCACTCTGGGAGGCCGAGACGGGCGGATTGCTCGAAGTCAGGAGTTCGAAACCAGCCTGAGCAAGAGTGAGACCCCGTCTCTACTATAAATAGAAAGAAATTAATTGGCCAACTAATACATATATAGAAAAAATTAGCCGGGCATGGTGGCACATGCCTGTAGTCCCAGCTACTTGGGAGGCTGAGGCAGGAGGATTGCTTGAGCCCAGGAGTTTGAGGTTGCTGTGAGCTAGGCTGATGCCATGGCACTCACTCTAGCCTGGGCAACAAAGTGAGACTCTGTCTCAAAAGAAAAAAAAAAAAAATTCAGATCAAATCCATGTCTGCCTTTGTTTGGCCATGATGTGAGCAGTGTGGTCACTTCTGCCCAGGGCACAGAAGACTGTTATCCACAGTGGGAGGAGGCAGCTAGAGAGAAAGGAAGGGGAGCATTTCCTCACCACTCTCTTATC